ACCAGACGCGGTCGTCAGGTACCTCTATTACCCAGGCGAGCAAGAGGGCGGCACCGTCAGAAGGGCGACAGATCCGATTTGGTCCGTGGACGTTTACCAAATTGAAAAGCGCACCAGTCAATTTAAACGAGTGAAAGGCAAGAGGGTAAAAACGGGCCCAACTTTATACTATCTGTTAAACGGGCCAAATAGGAGTTTCGTCAAAGAGGAACTTCAGGTAGTACCCGAAGACACCGAATTACCGGAGTAGGTAATTCCCGTCAGCTCACTTCGTTCGCTTATGCCCGTAAGCTAACGTATCGATACCGTTCGGTAATATGTAGCGCTTTGTATCTAAAGGTGACAGACTAAGTTTATTTTGTGAAATGGTGAGCACCCGATGTTTATCTGATCTAAATAGTTGTTGTTTATTGCAATAATCCGTTTTGTCAAATAGGCAGCTTTTATACATCTCGTGGGTCAAGCTTTTCTCGGTTACTACTTTGGAAACCCCTTTCGCCTTCTTTAAATTGTGATCGGTAGTTAAGATTGAATACATTTCGGTCTGATACAAACGGCTTCTAAAATTGTTTTGCCACCAAATTCGTGTTTCATTTTGCCTATAACTTTTTTATTTTTGACGCTGTAAAGCGGATGATCTGGCGGGTAATTACTAAAGTCAAATAAATTGCGCTTTTCGTTTAGGTAACCAGTTAAATCGGCGGAGCTTCGCTCGATTTGAACTAATAGAGAATCAGTGTCTGTGTAAAGTAAATTTACTTTTTCACCTAAAGTTGATTTTAGTTCGTTGTAGTAGAAATCGTACATTAACGTTTTTGAAATATCGAGAATACTTACACCGCAATATATTGGCTTATTTAATTTTGTTTTGGTTCGGTACATCTCCACAAACGAAAGGGAGCAGTCCCCAAATGGTACCGTCGATTTATAATTCGGTTTATAAGTTAATTTTTTGTATTTGTCTGCGTCTTGTACGTCCCTCAGTAAATGGCCGTCAATTCGATATCTCACATTTTCCATCGTCTTGCCAAAGACCGAATTGTTCATCAATTTGAAAAAGTCCTTCTCAAAATCATTTTTTGCTTTCTTGTGCAATTTCGTGTTTTTATCGATGTAGCTTTTCATCCACGGCTTTTGACGAAAACGCAGTACCCGGTGAACTTCTTTGATCCACAACCCTAGTTTGAGATATTTTTGCAATGTACGATAATGAACCACATATTTTTCTTTGGTGTTGAGAGTGGCCACTAGTTTGTCTACCGAGGTGTCAACTCTCGTTCTCCCTTCGGTCGTAACTCGCTCGCTCCGCTCGCTCGTACTCGCTTCACCAGTACCAATTAAATCCTGTTGATAGCTCGAAAACCATTCGTTCGGCACCAACATATTTTCGGGTGC